TACTTTAGCAAACTGTAGTGCCCCTTTGCCATAAATACCATTTGCAGAAGGATACGTTTTGAATCATACCCCAAAAGACCAACAACTGGCTTAGGACCACCAAAACTGGACAAGTGAAGGCCAAAATTTTGGTCTGGTCTGACAAATATGGATTTCTGCTGTGGAACTGAAATATCAAGGACAATATTGTGTGATGTAAAAGGTACAAAGAATGATGATTTGGAAGAGGAGTGTCTATGTGTGCAGTAAATATGGTCAACAAATTTGGAAAAGCAAATTATGCTACTGACTCAGCATGGACTAAAATCTCTTAAAACATTTCCAGCAACAGTTTGAATCCATGTCAGAAAGAATTAATACTTTTTAGTTTTAACCGAATCAATTGGCAACAAAGTATATATTTGACTGCAACACCAGCTTGGAAGCAAGTAGCTAATAAACAAAAAATATATATTTCAGTGTAAACCATAACTAAAGATAAATTGAACATATTGTGCATATACCAAAGACGTGGAAGCAAATATTAAATAAGTCAAAGAAAACCAACCCTCTATTTTTTGGGACTTTGAAGACTTCCCAAGACTGCAAACATGGTTTACACATGATATCTGATAAGCATATTTAATACATTTTATTTAAAAAAAGAGACTGATGTTAGTTTCAAGATCATTATTTGAGCAGAGGCTAATCTGAGCCCAGTTTCAAAGGTAAGTCACTTCAATACAAATTAAACCCAGTTCCACAGTTGTCATGTCACAGTAAAGTAACCCAAGTCCTAAAGGCTGTTTAACACATGTACATGTGATGCAGTGGGGTTGATTTACTAACCTTATAAACACACCACGAGCGTGTATACACCTCTGCAGTGTGTTCCCTCCCAGCATGATCTATGGGTGGAATCTAAACACCTTTGTAATGTGTACACACCCAGCAGGTGTGTTGTGCAAAGCCCTGAAGGAATTCCAAGGTGATGTTGGGTAAATTAGCTCTATGTTGTGTTGCTTGCGTTGATGAATGCAAGGAATGTAAATGCATGAGCTAACCATTTTTGTCTAAACTGTGAAGCAGCATTATATATGCATCATGTGCATGATTTTTCCATATATGGCATTAGTGGAAATATGCTTTTAGAGACTTTTTGGTTGATAAATACGTTTGGCTGTGTGAAAATCACACACACCTGGTGTGTGTGTGTGTGTTTAGGTTAGTAAATCACCCCCAGTATGTCAGACATTTATGCTACATCTTTTATTAACACCACAATATACCCATTCTGGAAAAAGAAGTATATGTAGATCTATATCTCCAAAAAGAACTCATATGGCATCTCAAAGGTACCTGAAACCAGAGAGAAAGTAATTTCAAATATCCTGAGGCTTTTAAAAGATTTGATTGATTTTTAGGAGAACATATATGTAGACCCCTCAGTCATACCATTTATATCTGGCTGCAGGGAAATGTATTGTGCTTCACATATAAACATAAGAAAACACTTTCAGAGCATGAAGAAGGAGAAGTTGTAAGCTCTGTTACTGTATCAAGTTAGTTGCAAGGGAACAAATTTCAAAGCATGTCATACAGGACATATTAAGATACATTATGTAAAGGATATATTAAAGGATAACTGTACTTTCAAAATACCACTAGGAAGATATTCCTTGATTGTGCCTCACGACCTTCTGCTATTTTCAATCTTCTTGGTTCCCCAGTAAGGTCATGAAATTTCACAAAGAATTGCACACATGAGGAAACAGTTTGAGTCCTGGTCGGCATTCCACGGACACCTGTCAGGTTCTAGGCAAACCTTTAGTTCACCATATGGGTGATCCAGTTTTGTCTGCAGGGGCAAGACAAAATAGAGGATAACTGATAAAAGAGCACTTGCCTTTTAACCAATCAATCAGACAATAATTTTTGCACCATTCCCCATTTTTGCACCATGCAGAATCACCAAATGGAAACCAAATCTTGGATCCAGAAGATGGCTATTGACAGATATGCCTAGATCAATGTTTCTTAAATGATGGTTTAGGACCTATACTGGTTATTGGATGCATTTATGATGGGTCACCTCTGTAATGTGTGATGTAGTTTTTTTGATACCAAGTCAAATTTAGGTACTTTGAGAACTATACTTGATTTGAAACAAATATGTTTACAATTTGTGTGTTTGTTTTTCTATTATATGACCATTGTTATTTGGCTTTGTATGGCTTTCCTATCATTTAATTAAAACTTCTCTTATTGAGTACCAGTACGGTAATAGTTTTCCTATTTGGGACCTGGAATTAAAATGTTTAGCAAGCCCTGGTCTAGATGATGATTATTGACTACTATTACTGTATGTAATTGCAATATATCATATTGACAGCACAAGTTCTGTTAACTAGCAATTATAAGCAATTTTTCACTGAAGTGATGTTGTGGAAACCAGCTAAAACTGTCTAAGAAGGAATTTCCCTCACTTTGGCGAGTTTTCCACTCACTTCCTGTTGTATCTCTGTAACAAAAGTAAAGGGAAATCTCCCCAATAGCACACAGACAGCAGTAAAAACAAACCTGACAAATGTTTGAATTCAGCTACACTGTAAAGATGCCCACATAATAGTAATTAGCTTGATAATTTTTATGCTGTGCCAAGATATAAAAGATCTTAAAAAACCCTCAGTGTCAGGCTCAACAAAGAAAAAGTCCAGTACTTGGGGAAATATGTAAAATACATGAGGAACATTGAAAGTTTATAGGGTGTGAAGCCTGATGATAGGAAAATTGCAGCAATTCAAAACATGCCAGCACAGTGTAACAAAAAGAGTCTAATGCATCTATTAGGCATGACAAAGTACTTAGCACAATGTATTCCCCATGAAGTATCTCTGACAGCACCACTGAGAAAGCCACCTAAAATAATGACATTCTATGACAATAGGAGCAAGAGCAGGATAAAGGCTTTACAAAAGCACATGCTGTGAGATTTTCTGACCCACCCAAACAAATGCAAATACAATCAGATACATCTGAAGATGGCTGTGGAAGGAAACTTACTATTATATTCATTATAGTTGTTAACATGTGCAGAACACAATAACACACAAATAAAAAAAAAAAACTGCTGGCAATTATGTTTTGCAGAAAAAGATCCAGGTCTATGGAAGCAGAATAAAGCTATGTTCTTACCACAAACAAGTGCCATTCTGTTATTAAGGATGACTAGAAGATTCCAGGTTCAGAGTCTACAAGAGAGGGAACCCTGGAGAGATGGGTCACAAGCAAATGATTGCCATCACCCTACCTGGATAGGTGTGGGTGCCATTTAGGAACCAGAATCCATTTGGAATATAGTATAAAATAAAACAATCACATGTGTTCAAATAGCACCTGTCATCATGATACACACACACAGGGGGCAGCCATTTGTAGACTCAAACAACACTTAAATAATCTGACATTTCAACGCATTCAGAAAACGAGACAAAACGCGGTGGTCTGCGCCTCATGGCTTAGTGACGTTACAGATTCCGACTGCAGAGACCTGCCAAGCTCTGGTCTGATGCCAGCTGTGTGACGGGTACACTTTACCAGCAGATGACGTCTCAGCCCAGCCTGGCTTGGGTGGAGTCACTGAGAGCGCCCTATTTTTTGCGTTTGCAGTGGAATGGAACACTGGAAAAGTTTTGCCAGGCGTCCGATCGCACTGCGGGCAGAATGCAAGGGGAAGTTTCTCAGCGACCGCGGTGCATTTCAGCAGCTACCGCTCTGGTACTCACACGCTTTTGGTGTGAACAAGGCCTAACAGCAAACCTACTAAAAGGAAAACAACTAGAACTATAGTGTCAAATGACTGAATGTATGAGTGGTTAAATCAAGTATATTACTTTTTTGATAATGCCGTACAGAAAGCAATGCTGATGTACAAAATTGTTATCTTTTTATTTTATTGCAGTAAAAATAACAAAGGATGTTTACTACCTTGGAGCCACTGCACATAGCTCTCTGTATTTTTAAAATCATTCTAACTGTTATAACTGTCACATTGCTATTATAAATGTGAAAACTGTGGGATGCAGACCTTGACATTTTTATTTATTTTTGTATTAATTTAAAACACAGCTGACATTAAATATCGATGCAAAATGTTTATTTTTTTTTTGACCCGTAATAAGGTACATATTTAGTGTTGAATTCCTATAACTCTTAAAATAAAAAATGTGCATGATATGTGTTGCCCTTACCTTTTTTTCTCCTCTTTTGTCATACTTACAGTTGCCAAGGCAACCATCACTACTTTGCTATCAGGTTTAGATTCACGCTCCTTGGTAAATAGCTTATCATTGAAGTAGTATGATGGCACTCATCAATAGTACTTAATGTTTTCACATTAAAATAGCATCTGTATGTAGCAAAAACAGTGGATGATAGGGGACAAAGACTTTTATTTTTCAATACAGTATATATATATATAGTCCTTAAGGACTCTTGACAAGGTTTTATGACTTTCTGCCCTTTGTCTTCATTGCAGAAGTTAGATAACATGAGGTTTCCATCAAAGGGGAGTTTTCCAATCTGATACAGGAACACAAGACAATGATTTTTCCTGACTCCTGGTTATTTTATTGCACTGTTTGGTCTATTCCGGCACAAACTAGGGCTCTAATTCACACCTAGTGATAGCAGACTTTAACATATGCACAGATTCTATTCTACATGTTTGCAGCTAATACTATAGCCAGAATGTGAATACTCAACCATAAAATCGTGCTTGTACTATTTTGCAGGATGCGCGGCTTCCACAGTAGAGCTCTGACTGAGTGCAGACTCTTTCTAACCTTTGATCTTTCTGACTGCATGATAGGAATATATGAAGAATGTAGACATGGTTTGAGTAACAAATATTATGGCAAATTGTATGGCATTTAAATAGTCATGGTGAGGTAGATAGTTTCACTTTAATATTTGTCATATCACTTTTTTCAGCCTCTCCTTTATTTGTTTTTGTTTTTTAGGTGTCAAAGGATCTTTATGATAAGGAAAATGAAATTGAGGATCATTTAAAGAATGCTTCCCTGTTTGAACTCCAGTTGAATCAGCTAAAATTGTGGGTTTCATCTGTAAAAGAACAGTTAGAATTCTACAATCAAGTGGGAAGACCTGGAGCATTTAACATCAAGGTAAACCTTTACATTTACTGTATATCACAAACTTAAACAAAACAAGTAACTGATAAGAATATGACATTATGTTGAAAAGAAAGCTGATCTTGCGGAAATCCCCCTTGTGGTGTAACGCTGTCTTTTGTTTACATTTCTAGCAACCTTGATATTGCAGAAAAGTATACTAAATTCATAAACCCTGTGAATGCCTACTTAAAGAGGGAAATATATTTATGCATGAGATTAAAAAAGGATCACAAACTGAATGGACCAGGTAGCAACAACATCACAAACACAGTTCAAACATGAACACCTCCAATATGTATCAACGTGTTTCGTAAAGGTGGCTAAAAGTCATAAATGAGAAAACGTTGCTGACTCTTCACTAAATGAATAAAACTAGGGATGCACTAATACTTTTTTTGGTATTGGGTATGAGTAACAATATTTATCTTTTTATACTCGTCGATACTGAGTAATGATACCGGCACTTTCCCTAAAAAAAAAAAAACTATAGCACAATCCACATTTCTGGTGGTTATAAGACCCTTGCAGGAAACTTGCCTGAATACATTATTAACAGGATGGTACCCTCTTGCAGGTCACCCAAGTCAATTTATAATATTATCAAGCTGTGGCATAGCCTGTGAACTGTAAGAATTGTGAAGCCAGTGGAAGGTTACCACTACTTAGTAAAAAGCCCATAATGTACCTCTAGTGCATGTAATAGTTGGTTACTTCCATACAAGAAAATGTACAGTGTAAAACAAATTAAAATGATAGGAATTCCATGCATGCCAGCTATCTCTTTTTTATTTTTAGACAGAAAGGGGAAAGGTTACAACAGGTCCATTTTTATTGCTGTCTCTTCCCATTGTAAAGGTTGTCTCTTACCGTTGTGGAGATATATGAAGAATGTAGACATTGTTTGAGTAACACATTTTATGGCATTTGTATGGTGATAATTGTGGTGGGGTGGAGAATTGCACTTTAATATTTGTCATCACTTTTTTCACCTATTTATTTTACAATCTATGAGGTGTGGCATAGGGTTGGATCCAAGGTTGTTGCTGATATTGTCAGAGCATTGTCAGAAAAAATAATACTAGTAGTTTTTGTAATGCTAGTGAGTGTACAGTTGGCAGAAAGTGTATAGTAAATGGTGGCAAGAAACTTTGGAAAAATGGTTAGCTGTCTTATGTACAATAGAGATTGGTGGTATAAGATATATAGGTGACTGCTTTGCCAGAGGCCATGTGCATTAACAAATTCATAGGATGTAGGGCATGTATGGGTATTCTGTAGTCTGTTTCCATCACCCTACAGGTATTTAAAGCTGAAAAATATTTGTAAAGGCACAGCAGTCATGTGTCTTCAGCCCTATAAGGCAACCAATAAAGAATCCAAGGTTGTTGCTGATATTGTCAGAGCATTGTCAGAAAAAATAATACTAGTAGTTTTTGTAATGCTAGTGAGTGTACAGTTGGCAGAAAGTGTATAGTAAATGGTGGCAAGAAACTTTGGAAAAATGGTTAGCTGTCTTATGTACAATAGAGATTGGTGGTATAAGATATATAGGTGACTGCTTTGCCAGAGGCCATGTGCATTAACAAATTCATAGGATGTAGGGCATGTATGGGTATTCTGTAGTCTGTTTCCATCACCCTACAGGTATTTAAAGCTGAAAAATATTTGTAAAGGCACAGCAGTCATGTGTCTTCAGCCCTATAAGGCAACCAATAAAGAATTTCCTACTAGACATACTGGCTACTTTTAAATCCCATACAAGTACAATGAATCATGAAAGGCAATGCTTGAGAGTACAACATTTAAAACATTGTTTTTCCAAAGGAATGTTATGGGGGATGGACATTGTCAGAACAGGGATAACTGAGTGGGTATATTAGGTATACCTGGTACAAATTGTAGGGATTTTTCATCTAAAGTCTGGAGACCTTGTGCTTGGACTGAAGGTCAGGGACCCTGGCTTTGGGTCTTGTAGCAGGGCCCATGTGTGTTTAGCTACACCTCTGGTCTATCAGGTTGTGGATCCCCATAAACACCCTAACTAAAGGATTCCCAAGGAATACACCTATTAATCTGCCCACCAAAATAACAAAAAATTGCATGGCCAAAAGTCAGTGAATGTTAATAGAAGGGTGTTTTTGGTGTACTTTGAAATAATGAACTACCACAAAACCATTTTTCTCAGCAACAGTATGGCTACCTTGATCACATTTAAAATGGAAACTCCTGTGCTTTCCCATAAGTCAGAGCCAAGTAAACAATCAACAAATGTAGACATAACAAATGTGTAAGCAGGGTTATTTTCCTTTGCTGTAGCACTTTGGATTGCTAGTTGGCCAGTCAATATATGCTATCCCAATGGAATCTCTCAGCCCATGTACCTACTGTTGAATGATCAAGGAAGGCATCTCCCACCCACACTGCACTATATAGTAATCCTTTTCTAAAATGAGCTCTGCACTCGCAGTAGCCATGTAACCTCTATGTCCATTTTATTTTTCCATTCTATCATTACCTAGTAATGCTATTACTTTCAGGGTTGTACCACAGCTATATAAGATCTATGGTTCTATTCAGAGCCACATTCAGACATCTCATTGCCGTAGGCACTACTCATTGGTCATTATCTCATTAGCATTACATTTATTTCAGTACTCTGCCCATGAGGTGACTGCCAATGGGTAGTTAAACCTTTCAGTAGAAAAGAGATTTGCCAGTGTACCGCTAGACCAGAGTTTAGTCTCCGTTTTGTCAAAAATGTGGAGTTAGGCATGAAATTAATAGTTATGCACATTTCTTTGCAAATGGAGTAATAGTCTTCAGTAATCAGAGCAATTGGATATCCACATTTCTGGATACTGGGGTTGTTTCTAGTATTTTGTTGCAAGGAAAGTATGTTCATGTTGAATAGCTAACCATTACAATGTGCCATATGAGCTTTTTCGTGTTTTGTTTGCACTAATGCAAAATTCAGTATTCAGATAAAATCATGTAGTATTATTAAGGGACAGCAGCATGCGATCAAGTAATAAGTATGTTGGTGTATGTCCTGATTATCTCCTTATTGCAATTTAGCTTAACCGCTTTACTAGCAGCAAACTGAAGAGTTAGTTCAGCATGCTGTGAACCACTTACTTGAGGAACAGATCTCTAGCAAACAAATTGGATGAGTGCTTTTCTTCAGAATACTTATTTATTTTCAATGGGCTCAAAGGAATATGTTTAAAGTCAAGAGTGTTCAACTGTGACTTAAATGCACTATTTATATTTATTTGAAAATATATGAATATGCCACTGGCTGGTAAAAGTCAAAAGTTCCCACAAATAACTGCGAAGTAGCAAGTAATAACATTAATCATAAAGGATCCTAGATTGCTTTACCATTAGTGATGCCATTAACAGAGACTTTTTCAAGATTTAATTAATACATTTCAAGAATGCAGAGATAAATGCTGCATATAAAAATATAAATGTTAGAATAAAAAACAGGCATGTTGGGGAATTAAGGATAGCATATTTCTACATTGAAACAATCACATAGGAAGACTTGTTACAGCAACAACAAAATCCCTTCATATGTTTGAGTTTGTCCTTAACTGTGTGCACAAAAATCTGGTAAATATTTTATTAAGTTTCCCTATAAAATATTGCTCAGCATATGGACTTTATTTTTCAAAGTCTAATCACACTTTCAACACAAATACCTTTCAAGCCTATACACAAAAACTCTTTGCCCACCCAAGAGCCATCCATTTTGGTAGACACACCTTGTTTCGTGAATAGCCTGCGATAATTCCTCTATAGACAAATGTGATTTTCATACAATATTGTTTATAGCTGAATGTAATGAAGTGGGATAATATATTAGCCTGTTCCTCCACTAGATATGGACCTACTGTGACTAATCCAAATTCATGCTATGAAAAGTCTTGATTATTAATTAAAATCTATTGTAATATTGTCTCTATTTAAAAGTCAACATATATCAGTGAAACTAACTAATTTAGGGGGTTATTCACAAAGCTAGCCAAAGGATCAGTCGTAGCTCCTTCAGCTAGCTTCGGTTGCGGCAGCCTTTTGGTTCTGTTGAACCGAATGGCTTCTGTATGGGCTATTGAGCAGCTCAACCGAGCCAAAGGCATATGCTTCGGCTCGACTGAGCCAAAGTGACAGTTGAAGCAGGGTGAAAATGACAGCTGGGCAGAGCCAGCCATGATCTTGTGATCTCATGACTGGCTCTGCTAAAAGAATCTAGCAGGTCCCGGCCAATAGGAAACAGTTGGGCGGAGCTAGCTGTCACTGAAAGCTACACGCAATTGTTTTTTTCTTTTAAAAAAAATCTATTTCTTTTACAATTATTATTTATTTACATTTTTAAGCCTTTTTTTCAACTTTTTTCATTGATTTCCTATTCTGCTCAGTACCACGGAGGTACCGGGCAGAATAGCCAAGCCGAATGCTGCTAGGCGGCATTCGGCTATTCACTCACTGACATTTGGCCCCTATGTGAATAGGGATGAATGGCAGCGAGTGAGTTGCCGGAGCTTTGGCTCAGCCGAACCAGATGTTGGATCAGCTGAGTCGAAGTCCTTCTGCACTTCGGCTCAGCCAAACATGCAGAGCACGTTCGGCTGACCGAAGTGCAGCTCATTTCAGCAGATGTACGGCTGAACTCAGCCGTACAAGCCTGAAGTGAATAGCCAAACAGCGTTCAGCTCACTTCACTTCAGGTGGGTTATTCACTCGGCTGCCTTTGGCAGCTTTGTTATCAACCCTGTGAGTTTATTTACTTAATCAGACATGACCAATAAAATATGACCTATTTGGATCGCCTGTTGGCTTATGTGTTATATTAGCAGGGTAAATGAAACCTGTCATGAACTAAATACAGTATGTGTACTTCCATTGCTGACTTTCTTCATAAAATGCAAGTTGCCTGGCTGTCTGTTGCTTTAGTGCTTCCTGAGTTACTGATCAGGAACAAGTTTGCT